CAAAATCTCATCTAACCAAGGCTTTCCTAGACTAGATTATCTATGGTCACAATATAATAATTATGCATATTGTAACAATAATAGTTTCCTTAAGATAAGTTATCCAACAGAATTTGAGGAACATTTTGTGACTCGATATCCATATTCAATTTGATCGTGGGATGATTGCTATCGAGATATACATATCGTCAGTCCTCGTATATAATCGTTGACTTAACTCACGTTAGTGAATGACGGAATTAAATAAGTCAAATACAAGAATGAATTTTGAATACGTGTATATCATATAATCGTTGATCCAGACAAACGATCGAAGAAACGAAGCGAAATGGATTAGAGAAGGCATGTTAAACAATCCACTTAAATTAAGCGTCACTCAATATTTACAGTCAAATTGAATCGAGGCAAGGCAAAGGCTAAGTGAGGCGAAGCGAAGTAAGGTAAACCAAGGCAAGGAGAAGGTGAAGAAAATAATTAACAAGGTCAAAATAAGACTCAAGAAGAGTAAATAAGTTGGTCTGTTTGGAAGCAAGAATGAGCCATGTGGGCTTGACATGTGACTTGCCAATACAAACTATCTAGACAAGCTTCATCTTAAAGAGTTTTTATTAGAAAACTATTGATATTGATGAATGAAAAGAAATTTGAAGTAATTAGTCCCTTTGATAAATTTCGACCGTGTAATAAGAAGACGAGGATTATCAGAACTGTGTGTTATATTAGAGTAATACATTTCGAGCAATCTGTTAATACATATGCCTGTTAGGAACAGTTATATATAAAAATAAAAAGTCAACTAGACTGGTAATAAGGTTAAGAAATAGACAAGGATAATAATGATAGAATAAAATAGTGTGAAAACAATTTGAAACCTAATTACTCTGGATAATAAGCTAATATTACCAGGGTAGGCTTAAGGAGAGAACAAACTATTTTTGAATACACAAAGGGGGTTTTAATTTTCGTACCGCTAAGGCTTCAATAAACATTAGTATATGCCCTTTTACACTTTTGTACATCACAAAAGTTGTGCTAAGATCAATTTTATGACCTGTTTCAATTATGTATTTGGCAATAGATGATGATGGATGTTTATCCTCTACTCTTATTGAGTCATTTGATTTTATTTGTTTCTGTAATGCAAAGAAACAAATTATACTGATATTTAAATATTCTATTTAAAGTAAAATAAATACAGAATCATTATTGCATTTTTGACTAAAATCAATGCAATAAAACAAGATGCAACTTGATAAACATGAACTGAATGACGACGATGATGAAATTTTACAAGAAAATGTACTTTGAATTACATGTTGATTTGTTTCAGTAAGGGACAGAAATAAAGAAAAAGATAGGAAGAACGGGTAGAAAAACAGAAAAGTATCATTAATATTGTGATTACATTTTCTAAAAAAACCATATCATAAATAATAAAAGTGAATAAAATACACGTAGGTAATGTAGAAAATGTAGTGAAACATACTAGGATTCTTTTGGCGTCATATTGACTGTTGCATTAAATTAAAATAAAAATGAAACTTATTACGTAGATGCCTAAGAAAAAAACAGAATACTAAATAGGAGTAGAACTAATAAGTAGCACAATTAGCAGTACAAAATAATAATAATAATAATACTCCTAATCGAAGGTGATTGATGGTTAATAAAGAATTTTTTATGAAAACGTTAATAGTCTTGGTAACTATATCGCAATTTAATTGCCCGATTCGTTTATCTAATGATTTGAAATGAGTTCTGTTTCTTTGTAACCAGTGAATACTCGTTAATATAACTTTCTACAATGTCAAGTTCACATAGGTATTTTTATAAAACAACAAATTTATTCGACAGGATAGTACAATGATAATACCAGTAATGGTAATCATGTAATGAAGTTAAGTGGGAAAATTGATAGTTAGTCATTCAGTCATCAGTAACACAACCTGGCACAAATGAGCAATCAGTCCACGTCCTCATACCACATCAACATAAGTAGATGAGATTATTAAAACGAAGACCAAAATAGTCGTATTAATGATAGTAAAAGAAAATAGTCATAGAAAATATGATTTGAGAAGAATGAATTCATAGGATACAAAGTATAAAATAATTTTGAAAATCAGGATTTAACTAAAGAGATGAAAAGTGTGTACATTTGCGTCACTGTGACAGATTCAGAGCATTTTTATTCAGCCACTCCAAACAGTGTTCATGGTAATCGAGTGGACTCCAGGCAGCTACGAACTAAATACTACACTAGATAATCCTATACATATTTAAAGCTTAGTAGGTTAAGCACTTGTCCCCTTAGACCAGTAAGTGACTGATTTAAACCACTTCATGAGACTTCACTTCAGCCAGGCAGATAATACTACGAACATTCGCAAGGAACAACCCTAACTATTTCGGATACACAGTCAAGTAATCCATTGTCTTAAAACGATTGGTTTTACATTATTGAATTACATTTTATTTATTGGTGAACAATTTCTACACTGAATCATGAAAGTGTTTTCTGTTTAATTAATTACTTACTTACGCCTGTTACCCCTCATGGAGAAGCATAAGCCGCACACTTGAATTATTTTTTCTGGTTAGCGTTTTTTTAGCGAGTTAGTTTTCTACGGGATGGGGTCGCTAACCCCATGCCCAACCCTCCGCCTTTACCTGGGCTTAGGACCGGCAGTAACTCTACTTTATTTCGATTACCCAGTTCGTAAGAAATGCTTTTGAAGATTCCTGTTCAATATCTTTCAAAAATGTTAAGTAATGAAGGTTTACTTTCCGACAACAAAAGAAAGTTCCTAACGATTAAAGCGAAGTATTTTTTGGCATTAATAGCCAGTACACAATACCATCAGGAAGCTCACACTCATTAAGCTAATACTCCTCGATACGTATGGGACAATTTCCATATGAACGTTTTCATTAAATCCAACAACTTGTTGTAATTAATACACTTGGCAGTTTCTTTGACAAAAATAACCAAACCACTTATTCGACTGATACATAATGAAGACTTACATGAAGTGAACATGGTCCATCACTCATTAATTCAAAAATACCATGGAAAATATATATTGACGTAAACTAAGATTTAGTGAAATTAATCCATGGTTGGTTTTCCATGGAATATTAGACTAGATACATAATTTTCAACACATTATTGTCGATGTCACCTAGGTATAGTAAAACTGAAGATTGATAGATAATACTCACACAATTATGATACTGTTAACATTTCAATAGAATAGAACTAACTTAAATGCATATATTTATAACCTAGTATACAGTTAACAAGCATTTATCAAAAGGGCTAGTAAATTGGTTGTTTACTTTACATTCATTTGGTGATTGGGACATTTAATTTAATCATTTATAAAAGATCTTGAATTTTATAATAAAATATGTAGACGATAGATAGAATGTAAGTGTCACAGGACAAAAAAACACGAGTTAATAATTTAAAACAACCAATTGGCAGTTACTTGACATTTTTATATGGTGGATACAGAAGGGCAGCTATTATATGACGCCTTAATAAACTACCTAAATGTCAAATTTTTCAACATATAGTAGGTGAGATTGGAATTTTCAGACAATTTATCTAATGACTAACACTCCACATAAAAGGTAATACTGAAAATGGTCTACGTGTAGTTAACATATACATTAAGATATTTGCTTTTTAGTATTTTTTTCACAAAGAATTTGTAATTAGGTATTGAAGATAAAATGGATAACAGTAGATGAATAGCAATTGCCAGAGTTTTCTGATGTAAGATGTGAAAAAAACTGTTGAAAACAATATCAATGACAATCTAACTCAGTAGCCAAGTTCATGTTTATGTGTGGGCTAGTATATACCACATTTGCCTGCTGAAATAAAATGGGTGAAATGAAGTTCGAACCTGAAACTCGATAGTTGAAAGTCGAGTCCCTTATTTACGAAGTCATAGCTAAAAGTAGTTATTATTTTCGTTTCTTACATTAAAAAAAGGAAATTACAACACAAAAGCTAAAACATAGTGTTTTTTGAATAGTTGAACTAATCGCCTGAATTGATTTCCTGGATGATGTGAACCAGTCAATCCCAGGTGGCAAACACCGAAATTGATTAATATGGAGTGAATGTATTCACTTGTTATTATGTTTTTATTCTTCAAAACCTTAAACATTTGATTACTTTTTATATCTGTCTTCATCTAAGTCACGGACTAGCTTGCTAATTTTAATTTCATTACATTTCCGTGTGCTGACTTGAAATGATAGATTTACTGTAAGAATCCATGTCTGTTTGTATCTTTTATTAGTTTCGCATTCTTCGAATCAGTCACTATAATCTGTACCAAACGAACACGAAAATTTATTTAACGATGATAAACGCCGAAGTAATAGTACTGTAGTGGACGAGAACTAAGGTGGAGATAACCAATTTATTATTTAATGTAAAATTATACAATGCCTTCATAAAATATGAAAACCATACATTAAACGCATTATTTTCATATCTCCCACCAGTTGTCCTTTACATACTTGATGATTCTTTCAATTCCGATGTTATTACAATTACAATTACAATAGCATGCACCACAGTATTAACTATCGTCTTAAGTAGTAGATTAGTATGTTTTACGAAAGAGAGAGGGAGAGTACTCTATCCCGTCACACATATTCATATATCACGTTTATCTATCTATCACAGTAAAGTGTTTTCACAATCATTGATGAATCATACGTTTAAAAAAAACAATTTATAGAGTTTCTAGTGTCGTTCAGAAACCGAACTTGATGGTACTTAAAAACACTGTTGGGACAGTTTCTTAGGGTATTAAATAATAAAATGAACTTTTCCGAAATCTCCTACGTTAGAAATGAATGAAACATATCAGAGGTTGTAAATTGATAATTTACTATCGTGAACAATAAAATCAACACATCAATCAGTAGTTAATAGCGTTAAAAGACGCAAAAAACCGTACGTTTATAGGACGTACCGTTGACTGATCCTTGAGATTACCGGTAGTTTTCTTATTTGATGTACCATTAGATTTAGAATGGCCAGGAAAAGACATTCGAGATAACGATTTAGAACTACTACTGTTACTACTATTACTCCCATTACTGCTATTCTTATTATTCGCAGTTGTAGTATCACGAGATGATCCATCCATAGGACTATCTTCCTCCTTCAGACATTCTGGATGATTTACATCCTAAAAATATTTTGATAAAAAACAACAGGAGATCAAATCATGTTTTTGTAAGAGTCAGAGCAATCTATATTGTAAGGTCTTAACTCACCCGGTTATTTTGGTGAGCATCGAGTTTAAGTAAGAGACAGCTAAACTAAATCAATTACATACGGTTGCTAAGAATTAACTCTGCCTGAAGCCCCTATAGAGTTACTACCGATCCAAAACTCGGATAAAAGAGTAGGGTTTCCAACTTCAACTCAGAGAAAGGATTTCGCTAAAAAGCACTGACCAGAGTGAACAAATTACTCCCTTTAAACTTTCTCCTAAGAGTAGGAGAGTCTTCATACAGAAGAGTAATGACGCCTCATTATGAAGGTCTGCCTTCTCGTGGCGGGGGTGTTGTTCACAAAAGTGAGAGGACGAAAAGCGAATGTCCGGCGCTCTAACCGGGTTGGTGGATGTGGAGGATCCACCTAGGGGAGATGAAAAACCCTCATTCCAAACCAATGGTGCACATGGGCTCCAGTATCCTGAAGGAACAAATGGCGTATGAACCAATCGTTGGTCACCGGCTCCCATGGGACTGCATCTCCTCACGATGCTCCACTGCCTTGTGAATCAGATCTTTCGGTCAAAGGCTCCGGGTGTGGCCCCCTAAGAAAATCACCTGCTTCAGTTTGGGCACCTGGGTAGTATCACAGCCCTCACACAAATCGAATGAGATTTGTGAGGCGCATATTTATCTGGTGCTTCCTTATACCAATATTTATGTGTTTAAATAAATAAATAAAATTATGAAGGTCGGTTTTCTTCGGAAGTCACAAGGCCAAAAGCCCTTGTAAAAACCAGAACAATAATAAACATAGGCACACAGAATGTTCAGACAAAGTGAACGAGCGGGCGGATCATTCAAATAGCAGCAGAAATGAGAGGACACAACGTGGCTCTGCTCAGAATAGACGGAACACATTGAAAACGAGCTGGACAAATAAAGAATAACTTAGGGACAGGTCTTATTGTATTCGGGTCGCGAAGCAAATAACTATTCAACTTATATTGAAATGAACCAATTAATTTAGAAGAAAAAGGTGAAACGTTTACCTTGACTGAGCCTCTTTTGAAGAGGCCAAACATATCAGGTCCTGAACTAACAGGTCTTTCTTTACTGGTACGATCACTGGGACCAATACTAGAACGAGGTCGAACCATTCTGGATGTGGGAGGTAAGCTAGCTGCATTGGATGGAGGTATTTGGGGAGATAAATCGGGGTTAGGTTCTAAGTTAGTCTGAAATAAAATAGGGAAAATTGAAGTAAACTTTATGAGTATTTGAAACCAGGATAATTCGTTTGTAAACTATTATTATAAAATTATGAAGACTTTTGTTTTCGTCAGCCTAAATTTGTATCCAGTTTTAGATATGAAACGTTTGCTGTGAGCTATGTAAAAGACATGGGGATTATAAACTAGGTGTACGACGTAACTTAATTAACTTAATTTAGTTCTTTTAAAATTAGAGACAGTCAAGGCTTCTTTTCATGACAAAATTTTATTTATGTTTACTACAAGCCCAAAGGCATATCAGGTTAGAACCTAACATAATTTTAAATAAAGCAACAACGACAATGTTTTCACAATACAGGGGATGTAAATGAATTATGTATTTTATTGTGATATTACATTCTACTAAGTTAGTCATAAAGAACATGGAACTTGTTACAAAAGTATCCTAGTCTTATTTGTCATAGTCAACATCAGCACACAAATAGGAAATTGACAAGATAAAAACCAGAGGAAGTTAAATAATGATACCAACAATAGTAAAAACTTAAGGCATCGAGATATTAGTTAGAAATAGAAAATGTCATTAGTTAAGTCGTATTAAGTTTAACCAAAAGTAGACGGTACATTTAACTGCATCAAGATGAGTGGACAGTTTGGGTTCTATGTCAACTGAATTTTAGTTATGCTTCAGTCTGATCACGTCTGAACTAGAGAATAACGACCGAATTTTACTTATGCGTAATTTAAATGAAGTATTTTGCTTAGTACACAAGTGTAAGGAAGTGGTATGTTATATATATACCATAGTAGTAATTTGTCTAGTTTTGCCGTAAGAAGTAAAATATGATGGTGATAATTAGAAAACAAAAACAATGAAACTTATTAATTAAATGTAGGTCACCTCGTTACAATGCAAACCAAGTTATTTTGTGATAACGGCAAATAAAAGTTAGGTAATGACTGGACTAGTTGTAGTCGATTTCAATCAACAACTTTGTTGAAAATAGCGGCGATAGGTATCTTTTTTGTTCTTTGTTTTTGAGCTGCACTTTAAGTGAGGCTATGGATTCTACATGGCTACCCAAAAATAATTAGATGGAGCAGAGTTTGAACATGAGACCTATTTGTTGAAATCTATGTCCCGTCATCTCCAAGTCACCGCTTCATTGATCGACTACTTAACACATTGCCAACACCTGTCTTTCAGATTATCAGGTAATAGTTGGTACGAAAAGAGGAGAAACATTTTTCTCTACTTAAAAATTGTAATTTGGATGAGGAACTATATGTCAAGATTACTTCCGTTAACTACTGTTACAAACTCCGCCTGTAGCTCTTCTAGAGTTACTGCCGGTCCCAAGCACAGGCAACGGAGGAGGCTTGAGCATGAGGTCGGAAACCCTATCCCGTAGAAAAATCATGCTAAAAAACGCCAACCAGAATAAACAAATCTAATCATTTAAACTCTACCCTCCGAATTGAAGGAAGAATTATGACTCCTTACGATGAAAGCCGAGATTCTTCGGAAGTCACGAGGCCGATGCTCTTTCTAACAACCAGAACAACAATTAATATAGGTACATGGAACATCCGAACAATGTGGGAGACGGGGAGAACCAGTCAAATAGCAACGGAAATGAGAAGATACAACTTAGAGGTGCTCGGAATCAAAGAAACCCATTGGACTCAAGCTGGACAGTTAAGGTTAAGTACAAGAGAAATGCTGCTGTACTCCGGTCATGAAGTAGGAAATGCTACACACACTCAGGGAGCTGCTCAGATATTGTCCAAAGAAGCAGGAAATGGACTTATAGGGTGGAAATCTCATGGATGCAGAATCATTAAAGCATCATTCAAAACAGAGAGAAGAAATCATAATGAATGTTATCCAGTGTTATGCTGAAATCGGTCATAGCAAAATGCTAAATAAAAGACCTGACCATCCTGATGGGAGACCTAAAGGTCAAAGTCACAATGGACAACACCGGATATGAAGATATAATGGGACGATATGGAGTGGAAAAGATAAATGAAAATGGGAAGAGATTTGCAAATATATGTGCATTCAACAAGCTGGTTATAGGAGGCACAATATTTCCACACAAAGCTACACGGGTCTAACCGGATCACACTACAGAGAACCAGGAGAGTTGATATAGCTTCAAATCACTGCCTGGTTGTGGCCGAGATGAAACTAAAACTAAAGAGACAATGCACAACTGGAGAAACAGCAGTACAAAGGTTCAATACAGCCTTCCTACGAGATGCTAAGAAACTCAACCAATTTAAGTTAACTCACAAAAACAGGTTCCAAGCCTTACAGGATCCACTGAAAGAAGAAACTACGATGAAGGACAACTGGAAAGAGATCAAAGAACCATGAACTTCAACGTTTTCAGACGTTCCGGGCCTCAACAAGCATAAGTACGAAAAATGAATCTCTAAGGAAACCCTGGACAATATTCAAGAAGGAAGAACAAGAAGACAGAAATTAATAGCAGTCGAACACGAGCAGAGGAAGCCAAGGTACAAGCTAAATACACTGAAGTAAACACATAAGTGAAGACGAGCATTAGAGCTAACAAGCAGAAATACATGGAAGACCTAGCAACGACAGCGGAAAAAGCTGCAAGAGAAGTTAATGTGAGACAATCATATGAGACAACGAAGAAACTAGAAGGGAAATATGGAAAACCAGAGAGACTAGTCAAGCATAAAAAAGGCAGGAAAATCGCTGAGATTCAAGAACAGAGGAACAGATTGGTGGAATACTTCGGGGAACTCTTGAATAGGCCAGCTTCTTTGACTCCAACGGACATCGGATCATCGTTGAACAATCAGTTGAGTCGAACTCGTCACTATACATCAACTTCATTGACTATGAGAAGGCGTTTGACAGCGTGGATAGGAGAACATTATGGAAACTTCTTCGACACTATGGAGTTCCTGAAAAGATTGTCAACATTATCCAAAACTCATACGATAGACTACAGTGCAAAGTCATGCATGGAGGACAGCTGACAGATGCATTCCAGTAAGGACCGGAGTCAGACAAGGCTGTCTACTCTCCGCCTTCCTCTTTCTTCTGGTGATTGACTGGGTTATGAATACCTGAACATCTGAGGGGAAGCACGGGATTCAATGGACATCCCAGAATCAGTTTGACGATTTGGACTTCGCAGATGACCTGGCCCTCCTATCTCATACACGCGTACAAATACAGACGAAGATAACTAATGTAGCAGCAGCCTCTGCATCAGTACGCCTCAACATACAAAAGGGAAAAAGCAAGATTCTCAAATACAACACCGGGAACGCCAAGCCAATTACACTTGATGGCGAAACTCTTGAAGAGGTGAAATCTTTCACATATATGGGTAGCACCAGCGTTGAACGAGGAGGATCGGATGCAGACGTGAAGGCGAGGATTGACATAGCAAGGCCTGCATTCCTACAACTCAAAAACATATTCAATTCAAAATAACTGTCAACTAATATCAATCTCAGAATCTTCAATACGAACCTCAAGACAGTTCCACTATACGGAGATGAAACTTCCAGAACTACCACAACCATCATCTAAGTAGAACAAATATTTCTAAACAATTGTCTACACAAGATACTCAATGTCCGTTGACAGGATACCATCAGTAAAATCCTACTGTGGAAGGGAATAAACCAGCTTCCAGATCAAGAGAAAATTAGGAAAACACGTTGGAAGTGGATAGGACATACAATGAGGAAGTCATCAGAATGCATCACGAAGCAAGCGCTTACTTGGAATTCTGAAGGGAAACTGGAAAGAGGAAGGTCGAAGAACAAGAATCGGAAGGAGAGATGAAAAGGATGAATGGCAACTGGAAAGGATTACCCAGGTAGGTTTGGATGGAGAGTGTTGGTGGTTGGCCCATAATACTCTCTGAGGTGTAACATGAGTAAGTAAGTAAGTAAGTGAGTAACTACTTCTACAAATATCCTTCCGCTTCATAAAGCGAGGTTTTAAGTGTAGTACAACTGATGAAAAATTCCTTAGAGTAAACAGACAGTAACAGAACAAAAAAGAAATGTGATTTTGGTGCCTTGGGTTATTAGGGTGTTAGCGATGAATTATGAACAACTGTCATTGAAAAACTAATGAAACACGTCATAGTACGCAGATAACATATTCGTGTTGGACGAAGATGTTGATTAAATAGTTTTCTGAAAGTATTGAGTGACGTAAAGAGAATGTTTGGGATTTGTCTATAAATGAAGTGTGTAAAACTACATCAACGCCCAAAATGACGACAGGTGAAGCAGCTGAGCACGTTTACCAACTCTCTTATCCTGAAAGAAGGATACACATCTGATGGCGTAGCAGACTGCTGTGTAAATCTGTGGTTATGAACCATGGTCAATGAAAGCAGAGGACATGCGCAAGTTGAAAGTATTTAATTATGGGCGTCTTCGAAGCACCGCTTATGTATAGGGACAACTAAGTAAGTTAATCTGACGCCAGACGTAGAATAACCAGGTTATAAATCTGTATCAAGTGGGGTAAATAAAACATGTGTTGCGCATACCTAACCACTGCATACCTCAGTCCGAAATGCTGACTAAGAAAGGACCAGGTATCAAAAAGTTAGGGACTGTCAAAACAATACATAGCATCAATCATTGACTATTCAACATAACCGTTTCAGCAGTCCTAAGCTACCTGGTTGAATTATGCATGATAACCGCGATTAGCGGTTGGAGAGGTTGGATGATATGGCTTAGAATCGGTCGTAAAAGAACTACTTCATTTATTTCTTTTCTTTCCTTAAATCTAGAGTTGCGATATACCTTGATACATATTTTTTTCTCGAATTGTATATATATGGATTGGTCCACGTTGCCATACCTCATTAGCACAACAAGATGAACACCGAATTCATAGTAGTTAATTTAACGGTGGTAAAATATAAAACAAAGATTGGGTAAAAGGATATAGTACAGGAAGAAAGATATGAAGCGATTTTAAT